ATCCCCTCCAATCTACCTGCGTGAACGCAGTTCAAATACTCTTGTTACACTCCTTGCACGTCTAATTGGTAACAGTACTTTCAATATTGTTCCTTTGAGTCAGATGTAGAATCTATCGAGGTCACAAATTCTCTAAGCGAAAAAGGCTTTGGCGCTGGAGCAGTTACATATGCTTACAGTTGAACTCCACCTGGAAGCTTTTAAGCTGAAAAAAAAATGAGAGCCATCCCATCTACAACCTGAAATACTTACTTCACCGTAGAATTAGCGTTGAGGAATCCCACAAGCTAAATGGTTCAGTGCAATGCTCAAACTGCCAAGAGTATGGCCACACTAAGTCATATTGCACTCTTTGTACAGTGTGCGTAGCGTGTGGCGAGCTTCGCCGTAGTTCCGAATGCGATAAAAAAGCTTTAATGTATACCAACTCTATAAAGTGCTGCAACTGCAGTGGAACACCTCAAACTATAGAGGCTGTCCTATTAATAAAGAATTGAAGCACAGATTAGCTACACAGAGAGAAGCCATGCATAATTCTTTAAGAAGTACACCTATCATATTAGTTAAAGTGCTCAATTTTCTAAGCCTGTTACACCAGGTGTTTCATATGGTAATGTCATTAAATCAGATAAGCAACAAGCCTCTCCAATTCAAAATAATAAGTTGAAAATGATGATCTCCACTCTCACTCAGAACTAAATTCAGTTCATATCAGTCATGCAAACTACTCTTAACTAGATAGTTAAAACGCAAAGCCAATTAATGCAAATGTTTTTCTCTAATAAATGAGTACTTTAAAAATTTGTACATGGAATGCAATACGGCTTAATGTAAAGACACTTGAACTCACAATTATGTCCGCGAGAAAGTGTGTATTGGTGATTTGCTGCTCAGAACAATTATAAAACAGATGTCTATCTACTTCTGGTTTATTATCTTCATAAAATCAATTCCTTATTGGGAAGAATGATTGGTACAGGTTTGGTTACGTATCCTAATTTCAAAATTTTCTAGGTACATATGCTCATAATTATATGCAAGCCACATCAGCATCCCCTAAGCACAAGGGAAAAATCTAAATAAATCTCCTGTCGCAGTTGTGGAGAGGGCGATTAAAGTGCATCGCATATACTTCTAGGGAGTCTTTACTATTCTATGGGTCAAGATCTTCCATTAAATAGTGTTTTAAAATTAACCAAAAGTTTAAGGTGCTTTTTGACTTATGAACTTTTTCTTATATGGTCACACAATGGGCTAATAGATCTAAGTACATCCTTTTGGATCGGTGGTATAATCTAACCTAATGTATCTAAAGCTTTGTATCGGCAACAAGATTATCAAGCGTCATTATCATATGATCGCTTTTTAGTTTGTCACCCCGATCGAAGTTAACTGATAACTGAATAAAAATCTTCCTAAAATTTATCACGTTACTCTTTGGATGTAACAATCATTTTTCACAAAAACTGATATTTAATCGATGTACTAAGTCATCTTTTTTTATTATTGTTTCGAAAAGATCCAAAGTTATTCCACAACATCGGAATATGTGAATATTTGCCAAGCAATCAAGTTTTAGAACAGTGAAATAAATTTTACTTGGAAATGACATCTATCTGTTCATAGACAAAAATGGATACTTATTTCTGTTACAGGATGCATTTCAAAGTATTTATGGCTATCAGTTGGTTAGACAGATTCTACACAGTTGCACAATTAAAGTTATATGACATTTGGGCTAATAGAAGCAGAGTTATTGCGTTTTTTAAGGGGTTCTGTTTGCTTTGGATTTTGTTCTTATTTTGGTTTTTCACGCAAAACTTGTTCCGTATTACCACCAGGCAAAGTAAGTTATTGTCCCCTCTGGTTCACAAAATTAATTTTAAATTTAACGATAACTTCGAAGGAGTTTTTATATATTCATAATATGATATTATCATAATATAATCATTTTTTAGAATTCTCCTTTGCTGTCGCTTTCGGGGAACCAATGGAGCATGCATTATTCGCGGAGCCTAAGCACTTGGGGCTTAATGTGTGGCGCCTCACGTAATTACAATAAAAGAATACGCAACAGAAGTGCTTTTCTTATATTGTGCCACTCCACTGTTTTCATATTTTTTTTATCCTTTTTTCCTTTTTTGCTTTAGTTGTTTTTATTCTGCTTTTGGTTTTTGTTTGGATTGCGTTTACATAATTATGCAAATAATTAGGCGGGCACTAATAATTTCGTTCATTACCCATTGCGCTCGCTGCTTTCCGGAATACCAGATTTGGGTGTTTCATAAAAACTTATTTTTCGTATTTGTGTTTTATGAAGTGAACGGTGTGAAACGCATAGGCATGTGTGTGTGTTTGTATATGTTCGGCAGTGTTTTGCGCATATAAAATTGCATGTAGGCGAAGCCATTGAATGTGTTAGTAGGTGTGGCCATTTTTGTGGCATACTTTACGGTATATTTTATGGACTAATTTGTGGTGGCCTTTTTTTTGCAGTGCGTTTTAAAGTAGCTTAAATAAATGAGTTGACATTTAATTTAATTTTTGATTATGCAAATGCTTTTAAATGGTCTCCTTCATTTATTTACTTTAATTATTAAAAAGTATAAAGGCGGTGCCTTTTTATTTGGTTGGTAGTCTAAACAAAGCTGGAAGAAAACTTGAAAAAAGTGTTGAGAATTTTACGTTGTGTGTATGAATTTAATTTTATTGTTGATTAGCTTGTTTATACTAAAAATGCTAGGATATTAGCATTTTTAATAATAGCAAACAGCTTGAAAATATACTCGAAAGCTGCTTTATAATTTTCTTTCATCTTTCATCTTTAATTTTTGATTTTTCTTATATTCACAATCTTATGAATTATATTTCACATTCAATGAAACTTCTTGACCTTTTAACAAACTTCGATTATACTAAAAGGGGCATTTGCCAATTCAATTTCATTGATTTCAAGTATTTTTCCATTAACAAATTAAAGTAAAAATAAATTCATTACCACTCAGCCTTTAATTTAAAATTTTTCTTTCACAATTATTTTTTTAATAAAAACTTTCTCCTAAGAATAGTGAAAAAGGCAAAAAATAACTGAAATGTGTACAATAAGACTTAACTTTTACTTTAATTTCGCCTTTCTTTTGATCCATTAAAAGTCGTAATTCGCACTAATCTTCAAATTTTACATTGAAAATTAATTAATTTTGAAAACTGAATTGAATACGAAATTGGCGCACTAAAAAGATCAAAAAGTAGCGACGGCAGAGGCAGCGACGAAAAGAAAATTAATCAGAAAATAAAAAGTGAAAGGCTCTCACATTTCCACGCCATCCTTATGACGAATCAATTTCGACCAAATGCCTTCCGATCCCTTCAGTCAAAATTTTCCTCCCTGACTTATGCCAAGGTATATTATATATACATTAAGTGGATTTTCCTTTTCAAGTTTTTTTTTAACGCTTTACTTACAAATCGAGCAGTTCAATTAAAGTTTTAAAGTTTTTGGAATGGAATAAATTTTTAAAAACACAATGGTCGCCACAGGAATCCTTATGAACCGAGGCTATTGATTATATGAACTCATAAATATAGGGAGGGCAATCCAACAGTGATAAAAGCTTGAAAAAGCGTTTCTTATGTCCTATTTATCGTGTCGAATACGTTTTTTGTATTGGTTGCACTGCCAGTTACATACATTGCTACTATCAGAAAGTTGGGCTGATTTATTTGTAAGTGCCGAATGAAAGAGCATAAGTACATTGGGGTATTTGGCCGTATTTTTGAACATTTCCACCAATCAACTCGTGCCTGCTTTTGAGCGGTTGTAAAATTATGGGGAATCTAACGGGAACAAATATTTCTGACCATTAAGCATATTTAAATTGAATGTGTGGTGGTCTCACTAATGTCCATAGATGTTTCAACCTCTTGGTGTAAATCATGTCGATCCATCTCAATTATTTCTCACATTTTGTTCAATCATGAACATAAATTTATAAATATTTAATTATTTTATATATTATATTATTTTAGTTTTTTATTATCGCTTAAAACCTTATCACCTAAATTCCCAGAATAATGTACAAGGGTAAAAATACATTATATTAATATAGCAAGCATTGTAACATTTGAACATCCGTATCTAATTATAACAATAAATATATTTATAGAAACAATAGGAGGAAAATCCCTAGTGTTGGGACTTCCGTCCTTTTTTAACCTTTTTACAAACAATAACAAAATGTAATACAGTCCATTAAAATAATAACCTTGATGTAAAATTAATCTTAAGATATTTTTGTATAAATACAGAACGTTGTTTTAAATAAAATCAGTAATTTACAAATACTCAAACGGTTCAGTTGTTTTAATTCTGAACATTTGGTCCTTCGAGCCTTAGCGTTTTCCCTCACCCGTGGTAAGAGACCTAAGGATATTAAAAAAAAAAAATTACCAAAACTTTATATTGGTGCGAAATATTCCTTCAAGAAGAAGAAATATTTCAACAAAAAAAAAAAGCAGACAGAAGATTTGTTTGTTTGGTATCCTCCCGATACCATAAACAGCGCTTAGTGGCCGAAGTGCTGCAGCGAAGGAAGCCGTGCATCATTGAAGGGCAGCGGCAGAAAAAAAAATAAATATACATTTAGTTAGAGAAATTGTAAGGTCGGAGCGGCGTTTTACTAACGCATTCTGATCAGGGTCGGAGGTGTTAATCACTATAGACAACAATAGGATTTAAAAAATTGTAATATTAGGTAGAAATAGGGTCAATCCAACGGGAGTAACAGCGGCAGTGACCTTTTACTAATAGAAAGCGGCAGCTACGACACGACGGCAGCTAAGAGACAGCGGCAGCCAAAAAGACAGCGGCAGCTACGACACGACGGCAGCTAAGAGACAGCGGCAGCCAATAGACAGCGGCAGCTATCCACCTCAGAAGACGATTAAAAATTAAAATACTCGAAAAAGAAGATTTTATATAAAAAAAAAACACAACAAATATGGCACAAAAACTAAAGCTTTATGAAGCGCAAAAAAAGCTTGGAGAAGAAATAATAACTGCAGTAGAAAAAATTAAAGAAAAGGGACTACGTAAGACAGCCGATAAAATAGAAAAAGTGGAAAAGAACTGGAAAAAATTTCAGGTAAACCACGAAGAACTACTAAAAGAAGGCGCAGAAACAGATGAGTACTTTAAAGAATGTTGGTTCGATACAATCCAAAAATATTATAAAAAGATGTTAGAAACCGATAATACCACTGAAACAACGGAAAAAGTCAACAAAGAAGAAAGTGAAGCAGATAAAATATCAGAAGACAATGATATAACTATAGTTGACACTAAAAAAGAGGTTCAAAAAATCAGTAAATTAGAAACCAGGTTAATGAGGCTGATTGAAGACTTGCAAGAAGATTTAGATGCAATGTTAGAAATTCATTACAACAACGAACTTCAAGTACCAGATTGGCGAATAGAAGAATTAAAAAAACAACAAAAAAATATAGAGATTATATATAATGACACACTGGAAATAAGTAAAAATGGCAGAACAACATATAAACAGATCAATACCCAACTAAACATTGTACTTTATCAATTAAATGAAAGTAAAAAAAAAGCAGAACTAGTGGTAAAAAATGAATTGGAGCCGGCTAGAAGCTAGAACCATTCAAGATGCCGACGTTCTACGGAGATGTAAAAGAGTGGAACACATTTTCTAATTTGTTTCATGAAGCTATACATATAAGAGATATACCAGATTCCGAAAAAATGTATAGATTAAAGGCAGTAGTAAAAGGTGAAGCTGGCAGATTAATCCAGCATATGAATGTATCTGAGGCTAATTATAAAACAGCCTGGGAAATGCTACAAAAAAGATACAATAACAGAAGGTGGTTATTTAGAACACAGGTAGATCAATTACTCGACCAACCATCTACAACAGTAGGGGATGCTAAAAGTATAAGGCAGCTAACAGACACAACAAACGAATGCATTAATACAATAAAAGGAATGGGTATCGACCTTAATAATGCAGAACCTTTAATAGCACGAATAATATTAAGAAAGCTGGACAAAGAAAGCTTAACGAGTTAGGTGCCAAAAATCCAACTGAAATACAAAGCTTAGATGAGGTACAAAAATTTTTAGAACATCAATTTCAAGCGCTAGATGCTATGAAAAATAAAGAAACAGACGATAGAAAGATAAATTATCCGAAGAAAATATGTGCGTACTGTAATAAGGCGGGACATACAACAAACGAATGCAGAAAATTTTCAGCAATATCAAATATTGAAAGACGATTACCAGTAAATCAGCAAATAAATACATCTATAAACTTTAGCTGTTCATTTTGTAGAAAACAGGGCCACAAAATATACAGCTGCTCATCATTTAGTTCATTGCCTATCAGCAATAAAAGAGCATTTCTAAACGCTAACGACACGTGTAAAATTTGCCTGAGCCATAAAAATCAAGACAAATGCATATCAAAGTACACATGTAAGATATGTAATAGTAGAGATCATCATACCTTGCTACATAATGAGCATCAACAAGAAAAAAAGGATAAATCAACAAAAACTAAAGTGATCGCAGTAACAAAAAAAGATGAAAGCGAAGTAGTATTACTACCAACAGCAATAGTTAAAGGGAAAACAATTAGAGGAGAATATAAAGAACTACATGCGCTTATAGACCAAGGATCTCAAGCATCAATGATATCAGAAGAAGCTGTTCATATCTTAGGTTTACAAAAAGTAAAAACCGATATTAAATTAACGGGGCTTGCTGAAACTTCAGTTGGGCAAGCAAATTCAAAGGTCATAATGGAAATAAAATCTAAAATTAATAATACAAATATGAAAGAAGAGTTTATAGTCATGAACAAGCTAATTAGACCATTGCCAGAAAAGACCATTGACTACAATAAGACCATTGACTACAATAAGAATCAGTGGAAAAGCTACAACTTAGCAGATCCTGAATTCATGAAAACAAAACAAATCGACTTAATAATAGGCAGTGACATTATCCCGAAAATAATAAAGAAAGGGTTCAAGAAAATTAATGGAATTATCGCCCAAGAAACAATATTTGGATGGATAATATCAGGCAAAGTATTAAAGAAACCAGCAAAAAGAAGTAAAGTAACAATTACAACAAAAAACATAGAAAAGTTTTGGGAACTAGAAGAAGCAGATAACACAATCAATGAAAAAACAGCAGAAGATGAAATATGTATGCAATTTTATGATGACACCACTAAAATAGACGGCGACAAAAAATTTATAGTGAAACTTCCATTAAAAAAAGATGCCACACTAGGTGAATCTAGAAATCAAGCAATGGCAAGATTCCTAAACCAAGAGAAAAAAATGAGTAATGAGAAAAGAACTGAATACATAAAATTCATGCAAGAATATGAGCAGAAAGGACATATGGAAAAAGTAAAAGATAATACAATAGGAAAATATTACCTATCGCATCAAGCAGTGATAAGAGAATCAAGTCGCACTACAAAACTAAGAGTAGTATTCGATGCATCAGCAAAATCGACAAATGGAAAAAGCTTGAACGACATAATGATGACGGGGCCAAGATTACAGCAGGATATATTTGATATATTAATGAAATGGCGATTATGGAAATTCGTCGCTTCAGCCGATGTAGAAAAAATGTTCAGGCAAATAAAAATTGCACGAAAAGACCAAGATTATCAAAGAATTTTATGGAGAGAAAATGCGAGGGAAAAAATTATGGAATATAAATTAACAACAGTTACATATGGAACCGCAGCTGCACCTTTTCTAGCAGTACGAACATTACATCAAATTGCTGATGAATCAGAAGAAAATAAAGATATAAAAAATAGCATAAACAAAGAATTCTACATGGATGACTTAATGACAGGAGCTAATTCAATATCAGAATGTAGGCATAAAATAAATAAAATTAATAAAACTTTAAGTCTTAGAGGATTCCAGCTCAGGAAATGGATGTCAAATCATGAATCTATACTGGAAGAACTACCAGATGACAACGAGATAAAAATACTAAATATACATGAAGATGAATCAGTAAAAACCTTAGGACTTAAATGGAATCCAATAAAAGATAACTTCCACTTTACTATAAAAATGGAAAATATAAATAAATGGACGAAAAGAATGATACTTTCAAACACAGCGCATATTTTCGATCCATTAGGCTGGCTGACACCAGTAACAGTCACAGCTAAAATATATATGCAAAAAATATGGCTAAATAAATTTGACTGGGATGATGAGCTCAATGATGATTTACAAAAAGAATATGATAAAAATAGAAAAAATATGCAAAACATAGATAAAATAAAAATACCAAGATGGATAGGAACTACAAATTCAAAAACTTGGGAATTTCACGGATTCTGCGACGCATCAGAAGCAGCATACGCAGCTGTCATATACGTAAAAATTGGTTCATCTGTAAAATTACTAACAGCTAAAAGCAAAGTATCGCCGATAAAAAGCAAAAAGACAATTCCAAAATTAGAGCTATGTGGTTCGCATTTACTTGCAAAATTAATGAGACGAGTTTCACAAATATTGAATAATAACGCCACGATATACTGTTGGAGTGACTCAATGATTACCCTATGCTGGATTAAAAATATTAAAAATAAAGAAAAATTTGTAAGAACAAGAGTTGAAGATATAAAAAAATGGATACCAAAAACAAAATGGCAACATGTAAAGTCACAAGAAAATCCAGCAGATATAGCTTCCAGAGGAATATGTCCTTCTAAATTAAAATATAATCCATTATGGTGGAACGGACCCTCATGGCTAACAAAAGAAGAAAAAGATTGGCCAAAACCTGAAAAAATAGAAGAAGTGAAAATACTGACAACAGTTAGAAGCCAAAATAACGAAATAATAGAACAACTTATGGAAACAAACTCCAGTCTAACTAGGTTGGAACGAATCATAGCATATATACTAAGATTCATAAACCGACTCAGAAGATATAAAAATCAAGCAGAATACTTATCAAAAAAAGAATTACAAAAGGCTAGAACTATATTAATTAAATATCATCAACAAAAACACTTTTCAGCAGAACTGAAATTAATTAAAGAAAGAAAAGAAATCAGCAGAGGAAGTAGAATTATTCAATTAACACCATTTACAGATGAAGAAGGTATCTTAAGAGTCGGAGGAAGACTAACTAACAGTGAGCTAACTGAAAACCAGAAGCATCCAATCATTCTGGTTAGAGACAGATACACGGAATTAATTACAGAACAAGCACACTATAAAACACTTCATGGCGGAAACTCGGTAATGGAAGCATATATTAAAAGACGCTACTGGGTAATAGG